AACAGTTAATCAGTATGACTATGGGTCTCACCTTTTCTCTATTCACCGCATGGGCTCATCTTACAAGCTCGTTTTCTTGTTGTTTGGTCTACCAAACAGGAAATCGTCGCTGGGTGAAACGCCCTCGCACGTAAACTGTATAAATGACTTTTCTCTGGCGTGTAACGTCCGAGTAAATAACGAGTTGTATTTGACCCCTTTCCTGGAGTGTTCTACACCTTCAATGCGACTTGCTCAGGTTGGATTAAGCTGAATGGATCCCAATCCTCTCGTTTTTTATTAGAGTGAGCGTGAGTGAATGATCACGGTTCGGCTTTGAGATAAATCCATCTCGGTCGAATTTCACATGAAATTTAATCAGCCGACTCGTTCGCTCGCCTGCCATTTGTCAGCTGGGGCCATGTAGGGCCTTCATCTCTCTGTGGTTAGGATGTCTGTGTGTTGGGCAGACTCAATCGATCCCACGTCCTAGAGCAGAGCAACATGGCTACTGCGGTTGCATGCGATCTATCGGTTCTTTTAACACACTGATTGTATCCGGTGGGAATATCAGTTCACCAAGATTGAACATTAAGCACTGCGGAATCATGGGGTAGTCGTGGTTGAACATTTATTTCGGCAGACAGCTTTGCTGTCGTCCGGTTCAACACCACGCCTGACCTAGTGGGGCCTTATGTGGTTTGCCACTCCAAGTCCCGCGAGGCTTAGGTTCCCGGTTTTCATCACCGAACAGCAGGTCCTCGTGACTATGGGGCTTTCCCCATCTGCTGTTAATCACACAAATACTGTGATGAATAGAAAAAACAGCGGTTAGTGCTTGAGCGAAAGGGGAAAATGATCATTCTGTTATTCGCGAATGAAGTGGGGTTGTATCTTCATAAACTGTCAGGTTAAGTTCCACATGGTTTTCCTTCCATTGGATTATAAAAACAAGAGTAGAATGTAACTAAGCCTCGTGGATAGCGGTATTCTTGTTCTCATCGCTACATTTTCTCCCTCGGAATTATTCTTTTTCCGTGAATACCACATAATGACCACTGGGGAAGATTATTCGCAGTCTCAGTTAATGAGTTTCAAACATGATCATCTCGATACTGTGCCTTTCGTGTCGTCGTCCGCTCATTTTCGGATCCCTACTAAGATGAAGAAACGCAAGCGCGGCGGCTGGCAAGCAGCGCTTAGTCGCACACCACCATCGAAAATGTCTGTCCCCTCATTGGTCAGCACGAACATCCGGTCGTTCTTCGCAAAGATGACGGATCTAACGTGCATCCTTGATTCACACATCCACCGTAACACGTGTGTTGTTTGTATCCAAGACTCCTGGCTTGACCATAATGTCAAGGACTCAGTGATTGGAATCAATGGTTTTAAATGCTTCCGTAAGGACAGACTGCATTGTAATAAGAAAACAGGAGGTGGAGTGATCACGTACATCAACTCAACCTGGAGCGACAAGTCTGAAATTCTTTTTGATTATTCCGCCGATGGCATCGACTGCTTAGCTGTCTAATGTTTCCCTAGATTTTCGCGATACAGAAGTACAATCATTACCAACTTATACATAGCCCCCTTTTGTACCCAGTCTCACATTTCATCTTTCTTTGATACATTTATTCCGTCTTTCATTCCCCTCATAGACGATAGTCCCCACATCATTGTTAGTGACTTTAATCATGCATCTAGCTATCCCATAACTTCTTTTGGCTTAACTGTTATTTGCTTGCCCCCCACAAGAGGTGATTCGTTTTTAGACAAGGTTATTACTGATCACCCAGAACATTTTGCCCTAAAACTCACCGCACCTATTTCCACTGGTGATTAAGCACTGATTCTCATAAGACCCACAGTCTACTCCCGTCCCACTCACAATACACTCACAAGAACCAATCAGATGAGCATTCGTCTTCGCAATCTCTCCCCACGAAACACCCTTCTTCTTAAGCGTTTCATCAATGTCGTTTCTTCGTGGTTTTCTTATCCCTCTTTACGCAATGCAGTCAACTTACTGACTGAAACACAACCACACGTTTAACCTATGCTGCCCTTTTGAAACTATTTGTTTGTAACGGCAGAATAGCATCTCCACCGCTGAAATAATTCAGAAGACAGAAGGAACGATCGTACAAATCTAGAGACTCAGCGGTTATCAAGCATTACACCGACTTGATCTAAGCTGAAATCAAACACCACTCTGCCTCGTACGCTTACCTACGTCTGCTATGTAACAACAGTAAACGAATTTGGCAAAGTATCAAATTGCTGTGTGGGACCAAATCCAAAACGTCGGATTGGACAACGGATTTGGACAGTGTTAATGCAGCGATGCGATCACGCCATTTGTTCTGGACGATGCCGTTCAAGTAGAGGCCGTCTCGAAAGAAGAAACTCTTGAGCTTTTGCCTACCGTGAAAACCAGGTGCAGTGTTGGTCCGGATGGTCCTTCATCTTCCCTTCTGAGATATGGGGCCTATTCTATCAGTGAAATATTCACATCATTTTTGAACAATTCCTTAAAAACTTGCTCTATAGCAGACTGTTGGAAACTAATAACAATTGTTCCCATTCCCGAATCCTCTTCAAACGTTCTAACCAAACGTTTTCGTCCTATTACTTTAACTTCTGTTGGCTAGCAGAACGTGTTGTTCTTAAACGCATTCAGTCCTCCATTGATATTCCATACGATCCTCTTCAGTTTCCTTATAAACCAAACATAAGCACGCTGGATGCAGTTTCCCTTCTTACATAAAATTACCAAATCCTTGAATGACTCTGCGAAATCTGTCCGTTGTGTGTTTCTGGACTACTCACCTGCTTTTGATTCTATTCCTCGTTCCCTTCTTCTTCATAAACTAGAGACCTTTGGTTGTCCTAGACAGTTATTAGCATGGCTTGCCGATTACTTTTCCCCGGAGAACTCAGTGTACCAGGTTAGGTGGAAAGAAATCCAAACCGTTGTTGAATAGCTCTGGAGTACTCCAAGGTGCAGTTCTTTCCCCATAATTTCTACGTATATTGGTGACTTGTCTGCTTGGGCCCCTACTTCTCTCTTCATGTGTGCTGACGATGTGGTCTTGTGTCAGGCCATTTGAATGCATGTGAAAAGTTTGAGCATAAGATTCTGATCGACTCCACACATCCGCTACACGCTAACCTAACTTCCTGTTGTTCCCATCCCTCAACTAGATCACAATATCTTTGTGTTCCCTTTCGAATAGACATTTATCGTAACTCCACAGTACCCTCGTTAGCACGTATTCTTGTTAACAAAGAACAGGTTTTCACAGAATTTGTTAGCAGTGTTGGAACATAAATCTCTTTTTTATTGTTATTTTCATTTTCTCCCTTACTCCAAACTGTATATTTGTTAACTGAAATATGAGCTTCATACTTGCAAAAGTTATTACAGTACAATACAATACAATACAATCTAATGCTCATGTTTGACCTAAATAGTGACTCGTACATTCGGTTCGCCCGCGGTTTTTTCTCTCACAAGATTTGGTT